ATAAACAAATAACAGGAGATTATAAAAATTACTGAATTACTATAGTTTGGATTTTTGAAGCAATAATAATTGCTAAGAAGCAGCTGGCAAGCACTTGAGCTAATTGGCTACTTTTCAGAGGTGGTAGTCTTGCAGAAACTGCTTTATAAGGAATTTGAGTGAGGTATGAAAGGGGAGTTTCAAATTTACACACTAATAATTCCACTAGTAAAAGGTTGGTTGGGATTGGGATAACTACTCTAAAAGTAGGAGGAGAATATTCACTGTACTTACTAAGTATGATGAGGGTGAATATGCTGAGGAACCAATCTTAGGCCAGGAATGGCATCCTTTTATATTCTAGAGTCCCCCTTGGGGGGGCATTCATAGAATATTCTAGAATGTTTATTCAATGTACTACAATAGTAATTCTCCCATGATGTAATGGGAATCTTGTAGTAAATTAAGTACAGTATTATCTATGTCCCCTGGCCATCATGATGCATTGTTATAGCCAATTACATCATGTTTCTACCTGTAACAGAATAATACTGATAGAAATTACCACACACTTTGACTAGGGTGGTAATTTCTACAAGTTAAATTATAGTTTTCACTTGTAGTTGTAAATATAAATTTAATAATTATTTTTGTATTTATTTTATATTCTTTTTGGAGTATTTTATATTTTTATTCCTACTAACCTTATAAGGCTCTTGAGTTATGACAAAGTCCTAGAAGGAGTAGGATTTTGTGGGTGGTTCCAGACTCAGTGGGCTACCCCATCTAGAATATTATGAAAAGTTCAATTCTTAAATAATGTTTTAGGTTTTATTAATATTAATATTGTTATTTCATATGAATCATTTGTAATTCATCATTAAGAGTCTTTTGGATACTCTGGAGGATCTCTAAGGCTGACAGATATCCACATTAGAGATTGTTTGTCCGTACTTTTTGCAGGTACCTGGTACCTCCTGGGGGGTACCCCTCGCACCCACCCTGCACCCGCCAGGAGGTGCCAGGTGTGGTACTTGGTACCTATTTTTGTGAAAATTTGAACAGGTACCTAGGTACCTCTACAGGTACCCCCTCACTTCCCTACCAAAAATCAAAATGATGGTGGCCTTCTACTCCAAGAAGGTACCTTGGCTGCATGGAAACAGGGACTCAAGGATAAGAAGAAGTCTAACAAAAAATCAGAAAGGAAGGTGATGGTTTTGGATGACAATGAAGATTCTTCCAATTAGTTATAAGTTGTAGATAGTTTAAACTTTGCAATAAATTATTAAATATGAAAAAATGAAAAAAATGACTTGGGACTGATGTTTTACAATAAATATGAAAAAAATAGAAAAGTAAGATTCTTCCAATTAGATGTAGATATATTACAACAGATATTAAAAAATGCCAAAAAAGTGACTTGTGAGTGATATTTTACAATACACATGAAATAATAATAATAATAATAAAGTGACTTGGGACTCTGGGAGTGAAACTAGGTGCAAAAGAGAGGGGGGGGGGTACCTGAGGTACCTGCAACAGGTACCTTGGGTACCCCCCGGGAGGTGTCTGGTGTGGTACATGGTATCTATTTTCTTGAAAAAATGAACAGGTACCTAGGTATAAACAGGTACCTAGGTCCGAACAAACGATCTCTAATCCACATTGTTGTGTGTAGTGTGTACTCCAACTAAGTGCCACACTCAAAGAAGTTTCACCAGGTTCATCTGCTTTGGATGCAGTGATTGGTTCCGGTTTTTGCTTGACTAACTTAATTGGCCTGATTGATAATGGTTTCTTTGCCCTGTCAGACTGTGGATGAGGAGAAAACTTGAGTACCTTGAAGGAAAAGTGGCAAACAGAGACAAAGAAAAATAACTTTACTGTTTGTGGGTTGGTATCTTCTTCCAAATGGTCCTCTTTGGTGAATATATTCTCACAAAGGTCTCCAATGCCATCTGAAGGATCTTCCTCATTCTCTTGGTCATTTTTCCATAGCCTACTCAAAAATGAATCAGAAGCAGGAAATAACTTCAGATGGATATAAGCAATACACACCTCTGACTCATTGGTCTCATCCTTTTTGGCTGCTTTTTTCCTTGGTTTTCCAGGTTTCCGCTTTGGCTTGTTATCCAATTTGTCCACCTTATTTGGCCTGCCTTGTTTCTTCTTCTGCCCCTTGACGTACTCCAATCCTGAAGGGTCCCTTTTGGTTGAAGAGGTTGAGTTGTGTTTAGGTTTAGAGCCTTTTATGGAGGCACTGACATGCCACAATAGCCAAAAAAATGAAAATAGGGGGTATCAAATATAACCAAATCCACAATTATTTAATTGACTGGTTTTGAAAAATCCACCCTTTTTTAAACATGCTTGTTCTTCATTTAACCCCTTTTGGGGCCCATTGATGCAAAAAAAAGTTTGGGGAAAAGTGACTGGTTTCTAATGGTGGATTCCTTATATCTGATACCCCCTAATATGGTGATATACTGCCACTTTGGCCAAGTAACAGCCAAATAATGCTCCTGCACCGCGGTCCTCCAGAGTGGCCCAATGGAAAAATGATCACAACTGCCATTTTGGCCACTCACACCCCTGAGCCACCATGCATGGCACGAATGTGCCAATTAGGCCATGTATCCAAGGGTTTTGTGACCTCCTCTAAACCCCTTGGACTCTACACCCCCATGAATACACCCAGTCATCCATGGGAGTGGGAGTACACCTCCCATGGATGATGAACACCCCCAGCATGATCAAGGACTGGTTTTAACTAGTCCTTGATGGATCAAGCCTCTCATTGATGACACACTCCCATCAAGGACTGGTTTTGACCAGTCCTTGATGGGAGTAAACACCCCCATCAATGACCAGTTCTTACCAGTGCTTGATGGGAGTAAACACCCCCATCAATGACCAGTGAAAACCAGTCCTTGATGGGAGTTGGCTGATGGATTCATTTTTTTTGGCCATTGTGGCACATTGGTGCCTGCATAGTCTTTGGGTTGTCCCTTAAATTGATGATTCTTATCAAACTTGGTTTCATCAAGTACAATGTGAAAAAACTTTATTACTTGAGAACAAAAACCAGACTGAGAAAGAACAAGATGTTTCAGAATATTGATGACATGAATGATGAAGTGAGATAAGCGTGAAGGAAAAATCATTACCACAACAGAAGGAATGGAATGTGAGACAACTGAAGAGATTTCAGACGGTCAAAGAAGGAAGCAGGACTGAGAGATTGAGGAAAGAGATAGTTAGTGGTCGATTGATGAGAGGTCAAAGGTATGGTTATCTTTTCTCACCGAATGGAGTCGGACAAGGTGATCCAAGAGAGAAGATTGGTAGTCAACAGGGTCGAGTGAGATAGTGAGATCGAGTGTTTGATAGGGTTGATGTTGAGGATGAAAGGATCGAGTGTTGAGAGAGTATGAAGTCGCTGGCGAGATTGATTGACAATGAGCCAGTGGATTGATCCGAAGAAGCAAGAAGAAATCGAGCTTTTTATACGTGAGAGAGTTGAGATGATTAAGGTTCCCACTTGTGGGTGGTGAATTGATTAGGTTTTGATTGGGTTCTTGCTGCGGTGGTATGCGATGCGGAGACAAGGTCCAGGAGGATCACCCAAAGTTTCAACACAACGGTTGCATGGGTTCCGTTGAGCAGTTTGTTAATTTTGCCAAGCATGAAGTTTTGTTTTCCATGTTGGAGGGATTGGAACTTTTCAAATACATTGCTGAGGAATATGTCTTCATTTTTCTTCTTTGACGCCTCTGTTGCATCTTGGGTTTCACTAAGTTCCACCTGTCAAAATATTAGAAGAATGAACACAATAAATCAGAAACCTTGTGAAAATTTTGTTGTAATTCTCTTGATGCTAATCAAATAAGCAACTTACATCTAGATAAGTTTTCACGTGCCACTGAGCATGGAAATTATCTGACGTGAACTTGGTCCCCTTGCATTTGGCGTTGTGGATCACTTGATGGATGCAAGGAATCCCCATTTAATCTGAGTAGTTACCAGTGCAAGTGGTTGTTGGAGCCTTGGCCATGTGAGACAGGTAAACTAGAGATGGGCGATTTGCATCCGGATATCCGGCTGCTTTTTCCGGCCATCCAGGCATCCGCACCCGCTGGCGGGTATCCGTCGGCCGCAGCGGGTATCCGAGCGGGTATCCTCGGATACCCGCCCTTTAAACGGCCGGCAAGGGACCGGCTGGAAGGATTTCCTTCCAGCCGGCGAGGTACATGCAACTCGCCGGCTGGAAGGAAACCCTTCCAGCCGGACATCCCCCCTTCTGGCCTCGGGTATCCTTTGGGATACCCGGATACCCGCCCAAATTTCTGGGAAAAGGGCACATCCAAACCCCAATCCGTATCCCCTGGCGGGTATCCGCTGGCGCTGGCGGGTATCCGCCAGGGGATAGCGGGTATCCGCAACGGATACCCCGCGACCATCTCTAAGGTAAACAATCTTTAGGGCAAAGTGGCAGACAATGCTGTTCAGATTTGCAATTGAAGGAGGCAGGCCAGTCAGTCTCTTGAATGAATGTTGGGAGGATTTGATATATCTTTCATGGAGTTGGATGGTGAGGGACTGATGAATTTGTTTGACGGAAGCAGAAAAAGAACCAGTTGATGAGTTGATAAATCTTTTGAGGTATGTGTGCATACTTTCAAATCTTGAAGTGATGTGATTTACAAAGTGCAAGTGCCAATTGATCAAGTATCCCACAAAGTGATCCTTCAGAGGAAGGAATACCGTAATCAATTAGGCAGCGGTTTCTGGATTCCAAGTCTTGGAGAGCTCCGCGTAATTCTCTTTGTATTCCTTCAAAGTAGGTGACTGCCTCAATTGCTTCCATGCGGGTTGGAATGTTTGCCATTTCTCTTCACTTCTGAAATGTTTGCGGCAATTCTTTTTGATGTTCTTGAAGATGTGCCAAGAGCAGAGGATCTGGGCTGCATTCAAATATACCTTCTTGATTGCATTGATGACCGCTTGTTTGTGGTTGGTGAAAATAACTGAGGGGGATTGACTATGAATTGCAAGAAGGAGATGCTCAAGGGCCCACATATAATTGGGTTACTTTTCATCCAAGAGGAAACACAAAGCCACTGCAAAGGACCTATTACACAAATTCATTTCAACAATATGCAGCAGAGGCACGTTGTACTTGTTTGTTTTGTAAGTGAAATCAAGGAGGATAGTTGTCAGGAATCTTTTGACCAATTTGAGTGAATGGAGGTGAAAAAAAAGAACAAGTTCATGTGGCCTTTGACACTATCCATCATGAAGTAGAACTTGTGCTTGTGGATTTGATGCACCAGTGCCTCAAACAGGGTGCATCCATCAAGCTGATCAATGCACATCTTGCCTCAGTAATTTTAAATTGAGTCAAGGGTGGTGTACAAAGGGGTGTTTGTGTCTTGAATTAAAGCCAACTTGATCTTCAAGGGGGCGACAACGGCATTGGTTAATTCTGTAACCTTTTCTTTTTGGCCTTCAGTCAATTGTCTATGGATTGTCAGAAGCTGGGTGGTTGTGATGCGGAGTCTTGATCTGGATTTGGTAGCATCCTTGCTTCTTGTAGAATTTTCCCAACATTTCAAAAGTACAGCCTATCTTCTTTGATTTTCCCAAGTTGTCAGGGTTTGATTCATCCGGATGGCTAGATTGGTTGCATTTATAATTCACTTGGTCCTCCCCTTTGGATGTTGTGGTGTTGGCCTTCTTGATGGCATACCCATTCTCCAAGGCCCACCTTTGAGCAGACTCATCTAGTTCCCTTCTGGTTACATAAGATAACTCAGGAGGCAGGGCAAGGTAATGAAGATTGGCCAACGGAGTGGTTGGCAGAGCCGTTGTTGACACAGTTTGAAGAAGTGGGTTGATGTGGTCTTGAGACATATTGAAGAGGGGTTTAATGTGAGATTCAGATGTGTCCTGAGATATTGGCACTGAAGCAAGAAGGGGGTTGATGTGGCTTTGACATTCAGACATATTATTGGATGATGTTGGTGCTGGTTGAAGTTCAGTGATGATTTAAGAAAATTGGACACAGTGGCTGTGAAGAGGATCAATAAAGAAGTTTATTGATGCTTTGCTTTGAGAAATTGGATGAGAAACACCTGCGTTATTTGGAGTTGAAGTTTGAGTCCTACTGGTGTTTCAGCAATGATTTAAAAAAACAAGAGGTCTGTCTACAAAAACAGAGATTGTGGCTGTCAAGAGGATCAATAAATAATATTTTTGATGGCTTTCTTGAACAAATTGGTTGAGAAACGTCTGAGTTATTCAGAGTTGGGTTTTGAGTCCTACTAGCGTTCCAGCAATGATTTAAAAAAATGAGAGGTCTGTTGGCAAAGAAAAAAAATTATGGCCGTCGACAGGATCAATAAAGAAGATTATCAATGGCTTTCTTGAAGAAATTGGTTGAGAAATGGCTGAGTTATTTGGAGTTGAATTTTAAGACAAGTTTGAGTTCCAGCACTGATTTAAAAGAAACAAGCGGTCTGTTGGCAAAACGAAGACAGTGGAAGTGAAGAGGATCAAGAAAGAATATTATTGATGGTTTTCTTGAAGAAATTGGCTGAGAAATGCCTGAGTTATTTGGAGTTGAAGTTTGAGACAAGTTTGAGTTCCAGCACTGATTTAAAAGAAACAAGCGGTCTGTTGGCAAAACGAAGACAGTGGAGGTGAAGAGGATCAAGAAAGAATATTATTGATGGTTTTCTTGAAGAAATTGGCTGAGAAATGCCTGAGTTATTTGGAGTTGAAGTTTGAGACAAGTTTGAGTTCCAGCACTGATTTAAAAGAAACAAGCGGTCTGTTGGCAAAACAAAGACAGTGGAGGTGAAGAGGATCAAGAAAGAATATTATTGATGGTTTTCTTGAAGAAATTGGTTGAGAAATTCCTGAGTTATAATTCAGAGTTGAAGTTTGAGGCCTACTAATGATTTAAAAAAAACAGGAGATGGATCAGCAAAATTGGAGATAATGGGGGTAAAGAGGATACAAAACGATATTTTTGGTTTCTTTTTTGTGTATTTTGGATGAGAAATGGCCAATTTGTGGTTTGTTGAAGTTTAGAGTGTACCTACAAGCTGGGAACAAAGCAGAGGTGAATCTAGAAAATGCAAGACCATGGTGGTGAAGAGCAGAAAAAAATGGCATTTCTGTTTTTTTGTCAATTTTGGTTGAGAATTGGCTGAGTTGCGGTGCGTTGAAGTCTGTTTAACTTTGTGATTGTGGTGAGTGGTTTTGCTGTTTGGTGCCTGCAGGAAAATTTTCAGTTCATGCAGGCACTTGTGGTACACTTGCACCAACAATGTAACTGATGTGATGCATGCATAGGTATTGCATCATATTGAGCCTTTATCGCATCGCATTGCAAGAGCAATACGGGGCCCCGCATCACATTGCTTGCATTGGATTGTTTGATAGAGTGTATCAGTATCGCATCAGCAAAGCAATGTGATGTGATGCACTATAATTTGGTGGCATTGGTTTGCATTGCTTTCCGATACAATGCCAATGCAATGCATTGCTTTTTTGATGTGATGCCGATGCAATGCATTGCTTTTTCAATGCAATACCAATACATGGCTATTTATCGCATCACATCACATCATTTCACCGTTGCTCGCACCCCCTGGCGGCAAAAATATGCATATTGCATGCATAATTAAAAAAAACTGTGTCTAAACGCAGAATCGGCATGTGCTGCACGCAGCAAAAACCGTGTTTTTTATTAAGGCCCTTTTTCTTTTATGTTTTCTTTTTTTCCCTTTTTTTGTTATTCACAGCCTATGACCCTCCCAAAAATATGGAAAAAATCAAATTTCTTTTTCCTTTTCAATTTTTCGATTTTTTTTGTTACTTGCAGCAGAGTAAAACATGGAGAAATTGACCCATCTGGGGTCCTCATGAAGGACACCAATTGATCATCTGCTTACTTTGTAAATTTAAAAACTTCATCAAACTTCTACTCACTCATGTTTGACATTTGTATCTCAATTGTTGGATGTGAACCAGTTAGAGTGAAACACAAGTAGTAAAAGGGGGCATAAGTTGAGGACCTGACTAGCTTGAGAATGAGATAGAAGATGAGGAAAGAGATAGAAGAGAATGTAAAAATTATAATATTCAATTGATTGCAACTATAATGTTTTGACTCCCACCAGCACTTAATTCCCACCAGTCCTCTTAGTCTTTGCCTTAGTCCTAGCTTCATTCTTCTTTTTTTCCATGTATTCGTGGAGGGCCAGAGGTTTTATGTTGTTGTTCTGTGAATAAAATGCCAAGGCCATACCTCTACTTACAGATTTTGGGTGGAGATTGTGTCTCATATTGGTGACATAGTCTCTACCAAAGCTGAACATATGCTCTATGTCAACCGTTGTTGCTATGCAAAAAAGTCAGAAACAATGATCAGCATTGAGATAACTAATTGACAGTGATATGGGTATCTTACCTGGACAACACAAGACATCAAGGGCCATCTGTGCAAGGCTTTGATGAGCATTTCCACTCCGTTTTTGCTCAGTCCACCACTTGAGCGCGTCAATCGGTTTTCTATTATCCAAATACAGGCCACCAGTGAGCCATTTGCCAACGGGGTCACGTGCGGCTTCCACAGATCGGGCAACAGCAGCAGCACCTAGACCTGCCAGAATACCAGTTTGCGGCTGGTGGAGGATTTGATCAGTTGATTCAAACAGGAAGGGAAGAATTGAATTGGAATTTACCTTTTCCGGTTCCTTTCCTAGTAGTCTTTGGGCCAATTCCATGTTTCGAGGTTTGTACCACTTATCATACATCTCACGGGTGAGTTTGATTGCCTCATCAATCTGTTCCTGGGGCCATTTGGCCAGCTTGAAGTATTCATCCTTGAAAGAGGGATGGAGAACTGGAAATTCCGAGATAATGTTTGTTAGTTGCCAGGAATGTCAGATGTAATCACATGTAAGTTGAAGAAGAGACCAACCCATTGCAATTCTGTATAATGGTGAGCAGTCAGCCAGCGAGTAGTACTTATTTGTAATGTGAAGCCCCGCGCGACAAGCATTTCGTAAAGCCGGAGGGTGATCTCGGTCAGGATCCTCATTTGCAATGACAGCTGAAAGGTTGGAAGTGATTTGATCAATCATGACAACAACATTGGCAATCCGGGCTGAGGCTTTGGTTGATAATTGAAAGGTGATTTTATAAAAGGGTTGCAGGAGTTCAACCAAGTCGGTGGCTAAGTCAAAGTCTTCTTGTTGGACATGATGGTCACGGGGTATGCCAAACTGCTTATCACGCTGCCATATGATGCTTTCATGAATAACAGGTCAGTTTGGCTAAATATTGGGGATCAACATCTGATTAGACTTACATGGCTTCCTCACATCGGACAATACTTGACAGTTGCATGTATGTCGAGTTCCACTGAGTCGGGATGTCACATTCGATACTGTGGGGTTTCTTGCATTGAGTTTCTTGACAAATCTTGATAAATTTCGCCTTTGAGTTTGGGGACTTCCTAAGTTTCATCGCAATTCTGCGGAACTGTCAAAAATTGATAGGATAATTGCAAATGTGCATCAGAGTCAAAGGAATGATGATTGAGGAGGTAATGTGATAAATGATGTACTAACTAACCTTTGCAAGGGCTTGGCGACATGAGTCTGAAGTATAAAGATCCTCAGCCTTTTCTGCTTCAAGACCCTCAAGATCAGCCAGAGTGAGATCATCATCGGTTGCAAGTTCAGGATCATCGTTTCCTTTGGGTTTCATGTAGTTATCTTCATCATCATCCAAGTCACTGTTCTCTTTCTCTTCATTGAATCTGAAAATTTTCCAAGTGTTAATGAACTTCTAGTGTCATGATTAAATGCTTGCTTGAAACAGCTTACCTCACAATGAGCTCATGCTCTGCCTCTTCTCCATCGGAGTCATCAAACTCAGGTGTGCCAGCTTGGGATTTCTTACGAGCAAATGGTCAAAGGATTGCCTTGACAATGAGATTGACAATATGTGCAAAGCATCTTATCCACTGCGGCTTGCCCTTAAAACGTTTCCAATCCAGTCTTTCCAACTCCGAAATCATAGTCTTGTTGTTACTGGCATTGTCAGAAACAATACCACAGATCTAATCAGAGTTGAGGGACAGGGTCAGATAACAGACAATTAAGGGAGAAAACATTGAGTACACATTCACATTAAGAGGGGTGGTGGACACAAACAAATTTACATACCCGATTTTCTAAACCAAACTTCTCAACAATATATCTTACCATGCGAGCCAGGTGTTCGCCTGTGTGCCTTTTGTTGAGCTGCACAAAGTCCAGGGGCATTGCGTCCAAATTCACTTTCCCAGCGCCATTGTCCACAAGTCGATATACTGCCGTGCCAATAATATTGTATCCATTTGGCGCCTGCCATGCATCAACACCCAAGTATAGTGCCCCCTCATGCATCTGAATAGCACAAAAAATATGTTTGATCTGCTGTCAGTAATAATTAATGGTTGATTGAAAGAAAATATAATCATAGCCAGCCAAAAGTCAATCACTCACCTTTAACTCCTCACATAGCTTCTCCTGAATACATAAGTAGAGCATATGAATACCGTTTGAAATCATCTTTTTGAGAGGGAAGGTGCTTCAAGATTGTTGGATGAAGAAGTCTCTTCAGGCTGGTTTCTTCCAAGGCTGAAAATGGCTGCGCTGCCTTGGCACACCAGACGACACATCGTTGCAAAACCTGAGGAAACACGTTAGTTGAGAATTAATAAATATCCAAAAAGGCAAAAGCTCTAAGTTACCTCCCGTGGATCAATATCACCTGTTCCTGATACGCCACGTGATGCAAGGGTCCTGTGATCTGAGGGATTGTTTGCCTTCTTTGCGCATTGAGCCGTGTGAGAGAGAAGATTACCACATGAAGACTTGTGCGCAGGCTGATTGATATTTTTGGAACACCTAGTAATAGTGTTCATAGTTGAGATGAAAATGATTATTTGATTTTTTATCAACATTCCAATTTACTACCACTTGCAAGACTCACGTTTTACATTTCCATGCAATCATATACCGATCAAACTTGTCCTTCTGATCAGACATGGTTGGTACCTCATAGGATGCATATGCAGAGCTGACTTGATTATGAGCAAGCCTTATTGCATGTTCTACAAAAAAAATTAATTATAAACAACAAAGATAAGCAACAAAAAGATAAGAGGAAAAAAATGGCCCAGTAGATTACCCAAACGCTGTTTGTCTGTTGAATCAGGTCCCATGGGGTTAGCATATGAGGCGGCTGACTTTCCCTCATTGGACTCCATGGGAGGTGGATCACTTGTGTCTGAGTCATCCTCTCGTTCCATGCATCTTCGGATCCTCTTAGATCGACGTTCCATGTTTCAGGTGATTTGGTTGGTGTTTCTGAGAGCAAAAGTGGTGGTGAAAATAAGCAGAGAAAGTACAATCAGTCAGAGTGGGGAAAGAGAAATGGCAGGGTTGTGAAATATGAGAAAAGATGGCTTACTTGAGTATTTATTGAGTTATTGAAACAGAAGGAGCCTGAGCGAGCGGGATTGTGAGCAAGAGGGAGGGTTAAAAAAATTTCAAAGAATTAGAATGGATTTCATCAGTAAAATTAAGGGGAGCGAGAGGGATTGTGAGCAAGAGGGAGGGGTAAAGAAATGTCAAAGAATTAGAATTGATTTCATCAGTAAAAATGTGGGGAAAGAGGCAGGGGAGATTTGATCTGGGGAAAGGTAAATGAGGTGTGAAAGACGAGACATGATGACTTACTGGTATGTTATGTAAGGATTTAATGAGACAGAAGGAGCCCGAAAAAAATTGGCAAGGGAATAGGTCAGCTTTCATCAGTAACAATGAGGGACTTCCCTGTCAGAAAAGCCTGGAACACACCTGTCAAAAAGCCTGGAAGGCAGGTTGGGGGCAGGCAAAATAAGGCCCAGGGGTCGTGGGAGTCGGCAACGGAGGGGGGATCGCCGACGGATGGG